GAGCCATGAGAGTACTGAGGTGAGATCCCCATTTCAACACGCATGCATCCACTGTCATGGTGATTGTCAGAGTTAGATGAAGGAAAGGAATGCCTGCACCGAAACTGAGTTGATCTTTCCACCACTCTAGGGAGTCCTTTACATGAAGGGGAACCAAGACTTGTTTGTCTAAGCTGTTGCTGATCAGTGAACAGACCTTTTTGACAGTTCCTTACTGAGGTACAAGGACTCCCTTAAATGGTCCTGACCAGATTTAATAATGTTATGAATCTGTCCCTGGGGAGGTGGGCTCTGGCTGTCAATGAATCCTAGGATGCCCCTATGAACGGTATTTTCTATAAAGGGCTTAACATGGATTTTCTTACGTTAAGCTGAAGACCCAATTTCAGGATACGAAAAAGGACCATCTGAGTGGATTACAGTACTGCTTCACATGATCAGTCCTTGATGAGCCAGTCATCAAGTTATGGGAAAACTAAAATTGCCTCCTGATGAAGGTAAGCAGCTACTACCGCTAAGACCTTTGAGAACACCCTTGGAGCTGAGGAGAGGCGAAAGGGAAGTACTCGGTTTTGAAAATGATCTTAGCCTATCGCAAACTGTAGGTATTTTCTGTGAGATGCATATATCACTACATGGAAATGGGCATCTTGTAGGTTGAGAGCCAATACCCAGTCTCCTGCCTCTAGTGAAGGGATGATAGCTGCCAAAGTCACCATCCTGAACTTTTGAGACTTTATAAATTTGCTTAGTAGTTTTAAATCCAAAATTGGTCTCCACTGTCTGTATTTCTTTGGCAAAAGGAAATACCTTGAATAGAACTCCTTCCCTTGTGAAGAGCGTGGACCAGCTCTAATGGTCCTAATTAAAGGAGGGAGTCTATTTCTTGTCTCAGTGAAAGCTCTTAAGGAAGGTCCCTGAAGAGGGATGGGGATGGAATGGAGAGAGGGACATAAAGTGGATGGTGTACCGTAATGTTATGACCTCTATGTCTCTGATGATCTGCTTCCATGCCTGATGGAAATGGGAAAGACAGTCTCTATATTAGGGGAGATAGGCAAAAGTCTGCAGCTGTTGAACTAGAGACGTAGGAGGATTTGAACCCTTGGCTGATGAATCAAAACTTTTTGATGATGACTGGGTACTTGCAGGAGGATGGGCAGCTCTCTTCCTCTGGAACTTATGTCTCTTGCTGGGGGATTCGGTGGGTCTTTGAAACCCTGAGAATTAAACCAAGCAAAATATCTGGGCAGTTTGTGACCTACTAAATCTTCTTTTATTCTTAGGTGTGTAGAAAACCAGAGATAGTAAATTTTAATGTGCTAAAAGACTCATCCATGGTCTCTGAAAATAGCTTCAGACCATTGAAGGGGAGGTCTTCCACAGTGTTCTGAACTTCTCTCAGGAACTCAGAGTTGGAGCCATGACGCCCTGCACATAACTACCACATGGAAATGGATCAGGCTGCAGTGTCTGAGGCATGTAAGGATGCTTGAAGCAATGATCTAGCTAGTAACTGATCCTCAGTGATGATGGCCTGAAATTGTTCCCTTTGCTCCAGCGGAAGATGATCAATAAAAGCTGTAAATTTATTGTAATTTGTGAAATTGCATTTAGCCAAGATCGCTTGATAGTTTGTGATCTAGCATAGCGAGGTTATGGACTTCTGTCCAAAGAAGTACAAGCAATTTTGGTCATAGTCATATGGGACAGACTTGCTTATCTTATTCGTTATTTGCATTCATCACTATCGAATTAGGTGGAGGTGGAAGAATAAGAATTTGGAGTCCTTGGATGGGACAAAATACTTTTTATCCACCTGTTTTCAAGTAGGCAGAACCATAACAGATGTTTGACAAACAGTCTTTGCCAGGTCCTCGTTAATAGGGAATGCAGCTCCAGATGGTGTTTCTCATTGTAAAATGTCAAGCAACTTGTATTGCGAACCCTTGATTCTTGCTATTCGAAGACTATTTTAATGATGTCCTGAAATTGCTGGAAATCATTGGCCATAGATGGTGGTGGACGCATGACCACCTCAAATTGTGATGATGATCAGACAGGAGTCTGAGGGGTGGCCCCTTTATCTGCCCTAGCCTCCTGTTCCTCAAATGTCTCCTTGTGCTGGGGTCTCTATTGAGGAGAAGAGGACTGAATATCACTGTTGGAGCTGGTGGTCTGGCAAACTGTCTGCACATATCTCAGGGACACCTATATGACCATGCAGGGGCCCATATGGGAGATGAGGTGGCATCCTTGGTTGATCCCACCAGCCATGCTGTTGTCCACAAGTCTTCTCTGTGGGTATCAAAGAATGGGTTCCTATGTAGATGTGTAGGACAATGGACAAGACTGAAGGGAGGTTTACCTCCTCCCCCTCGGTATCCTTGAATGGGAAATAGGGGCACCGGCAGAAAATGCTAGTAAATCAGGTGTTACTGGAGAGTGATGGTAGCCTCAGAACTAGAATCTTGGTACCGAGAGGTGTTTGGTACCTACGAGCAGTGGAAATTCTGTTTCATCTGCCAATTTCAAGTCTTCCAAGCACCTAAATTACTGTTGTACCATATGGAGGACTGGTACTAACACAGTAGTCTACTTGGGTATTGCCACAGACAATACCATAGATTTACAACATACTAAAGTTGGTGCCGATGGTGTCTGATGCTTCTGTTTGCATGATACCAAGGGCCCTGACTGGGCAGGTACTGATGATGGAGCTGTGCTTGATAGCCCTGGTCTGGAGGAGTTCTTATCCCTACCTTCCTTGTAATGTATAGATGGTACCAAGGATCAGTTGGATGGATCAGTCCTTCAAGCTCCAGGATTTTCCAGCCCCATCAGTACCAAGAGGAATCAGTTTCCTCTATGGAACTGAGCTGAGAGGTCAAGCCCAATATAGCCTTGGTGCATGACTCGAGGATGTATAGGACGCATGTGTGAGCCAAAGAGACTCTGCTAACAAAAAAAATTCTGATCAGGAGAGGCACATGCACATATGAAGTGGAGCACCCCAGGAACACTACCCAAAAATGAGGGCCTGATCATGGGTTCTGGTGAAGAGTCTGGCTGCAGCTTCACAATCTGGATGCAATCTACAACCACAGAAACTTGAGTCTTGGGGCAGCCAGGTAGCTTTCACCTTGTGGCAAAGTCTCTTGGACTTAGCCTCCTGACTGTCATATACATTAGATATACTAAGATGACATTATGGGAAGCATTCCTTCTACAGTGATCTAGTGGGATGGATTCCTCGAATAACCAAATGACAGACAGATTGCTGGGGACAGGACTGAATGACTTGTGTGGCCCAAACTCATCAGTTCAGACTGACATCTCTGAAATCTTGTGACGTAACCTGAATCTCAAAGCATAGAAAAAGTTTATTCCTTGAACTTCCTGAGTAGAGAACTGATTGGAATGCCCCAGTACAATGGTGTACCAAAGTGGAGGTTTATATATATTATATATACACCGTTCCTGCTCTTTGCAGGGATGAAAACATCTGTTTAGTTTTGGTAATAACTTAAATTAATAGGCAAATATAAACTTATGCTTCAGAACACTAACATAAAAGTCTTTTAAAGTGTTTCTGACTTCAACATGTTTCAGGTCTCTATCACCAATCACAGGTGGGGAAACAGACACAGAAAATAACTTTCCCAAGGTTACACACAAAGAACAAGAAACATAACTGTAAAGTGAAATATTTGAGGACTTAGTCAACTTAGACTGGGTTTAGTTGAAAAGACAAAAGCACTTTAAATTTGAAGAAACTGCTACATATTTTTATATAGAAGAAGCTCATTTGAGATTCCAACCCAACAAGCACTGTGTTCCTCACTTTGTACTATATAGTATCTAAAACATCACAGATATCCAATGGAACACACACAAATAAACTAAGCCTCTTCCATCTCATTGTATATTTGTTTCCTCAAGCTAAGGCAGAAATCCAATCCATAAAGAATGTTGTAGTACCTAGATGTGCAGAACAAATGGTATACAAGATCACACACTCTTCTGAGACACTTGTAATGTTCACGCAAAAAGAGGTCCAGAATAAAAAGAACCTCTATAGCACCTCTATAATTCCTTTGTTTTGTCAGGTCAATTCAGATGCCTAATATTAATGTAATCTTGGTGTTTATACTTAATAATCTCAATGGCAGTAATGGAACAATAAAACCACTTTAAAAATTGCTTTAAAAAGAAAAGAATGCACAATTAATATGGATGCTCCAGCCTTTGAATACAACCTTATTACTAGAGAAAATGAGAATCAGGAAAGGATCTTATTGTTTAAAATATTGGAAGATATGGGCTTCCTTTTGACAAGGTCCCATGTATATGTACAATAACCCTTTGTATTTAACAATAGGTAAGTAATAACAACAGTAAAATTACCCTGCTCTCCAGCTGTTTCTGTATATTGTGTAGATGTTGGTTTAATCTAATGCGTATTGTTGCATAATATCCCCAGGCACAGTCAAGTAAAAGCTAAAGCTGTACAAAAAAGCCTACATTTTAAATGGGTCTTGTCATTAATGCTTTATTAATTGCCCCAGGCAATGCAAACCCAGAGCTAGGCGAGCTATAACAATATGACACTTTAAGGTCAAATCCAATTTCTGCTGCGCTTTATGGACTGGGCCAAATATTGAGTTAACAGCAGGAAAGAACAATTTATTGGGCTTTTTTCATATTCTGATTAACTGATCTAAATTAGATCAGATTTTTGTGTGGAAACAAAACAACTTTAAACCCTCAACATAATAGAATTGTTGACTGTTTTCTATTATGGCAACTGTATTTTCTAACAGTCACCTTCTACTTAAAGTGTGTATAATATACTGGGTTTTTATATAAAGGGACTAAATAAAAAAAGCTTCTATGAGCCTATGTGAAACAAAACATCAGAAATGAAAATGCATAAACTATAGCTCCATGTTATTTAACACAACACATTACATGAATTAAAAATGTAAAATTAAACCTACCTTCACATCTGAGGTATCTCTTTGGCTGTTTCTCCAAGATCTTGCCACTGAAGAGAAGGTTCGATCTGGATGGTCAAATTTTGCATCATTTGCATTAAGAAAGAATGTTGTGAAGGGCTCCTATGACCAAACAAATGAGTACACATATAATACAAGAATACAGCAGAATGGATCACACAGCAGTTTCCTAATGAAATATGAGACATTTTTAAGTTTATAACAAAAACATGAGTAGAATAATAATTGGCATTTCATTTTACACACACACACACACACACACACACACACACTCTCTTATATTGATAATGAATTTTGCACCATGTAAATCTGATTGCTGGAATGGAAGGATACAATATTGCATACTCTGTCATAAGACTACTGTTGCCATGATAATTGGCAGGCAGGTATGCTCTGGTACTACTTCCATTGAAATCACCATTAAACACTCTCTTTGTTACATATATAAGTATGCCTGGTCTGATCAGCACAAGACTGTGCATTCAAATTAAATCACATGAAAGCACCTATAAAGTTTTTATTTTAATATAATGCCACAGTCTACTCTTGTTTTCTTCTCAGTTGGTAGGATTGGGTGGAGATATGGGGACTCTTTTGACAGGTTGCTGAGATGGGGGGAGGTCTGGCTTTATTGTTATTTTTTGGGCAGCTGATTGAATGAGGTATGGATTTTATTTTGTTCTATGAAATATTGATTCTTTGTTCATGGTAATGAGTGAAATATAAAGATAAATAACTCAGAGCCTAGGAAGGACACTAACAATGAAAATAAATGAATGTCATCATTTTATTTTTTTTATATTATGCTATTCTGAACAGTTATGATACACCCTACCAAACTAGGATTTTACATCTTCAAGAAATATGCTACTAAGGGTTAGCTCTATTTGTTATCAGTACGTTATCTGTGCTGTGGAACGTGCATCAGAACAAGACTTGTGTACAACTAACTCATTGTGTAACCTATATACACATCTCCCTAATTCCCCACTTATTGTTTGTGCCTCTGACTTGTGTCATATCAACCATTAAATAAAATAGCAACTATTAAATTTAAACATTTTTACAAAAATGGACTGCATCCCAGAAAAGCACTAATTCTCAAAATGTGTGATAGTAGATAACTGTTGGGGGGAGGGGGTCACGACTGAACATTACATTCTAGTGTGATGCTACCAGAGCGAAGATTTCCTTACTGGTTCTCAGCCTGGGAGCCTTGCCTTACTCCTCAGTGTCTGTGAAGATGGGTATGAAATTAACCCATCATACTAAATAATATATGATATTCTTGCTGTTGTCTAGCAAATAATTCCAAATGATGGAATTTTTATTCCATCTTTTTTCTCTTTTAAATGCCTAGGAAATTATGCACACACAGGAAGACATTAAAAGAATGCAGGTTGCAAAGTGAAGGCACTCTAAAGCCTAGTTATGGCAGGTTTCCCCATGCATCTTTGTCCATGCAACTATGAAGCTCCCAATAAATTCTCAATTAAAATAATCACATACTGTTTTGGTTGCAGGACCCTAATACATGTTGCACTGTAAATGGTCCAGAGGATTCCCCACCTAGTTACTGTGGGAGTCAGACAGCATGCGGCAAGTGAGGCAGAGAACCACATATTGCAGCAGGGGTAGTCAAAAGGAGGACCACAGGCCAAATACGAACCGCCAGACACTTTTGAAGGGACCTCAAAATCTTTTTATTTATTTATTATCGTTATTATTTTTGTATCTTCTCTGGAGTCTGGACCTTGACTACACCTTGACCAAAAAATTTGGACTTTGACAAAATTGACACCCACATATTAAAGTGAGGATAAAAAATATTCAACACTGGCACATTTGCTGAGCATTGTCATAACACCAGACTGAATCAGGATGCAGATAGGAACAGAGTTAAACTTGGGAGGGCAACTTTAACTTTGATGTGCCCATCAAAGCACTTTGGATTGCTTTACTTGGCGACCTTCATGTATGAAATAAGTACCCAGTAGATTAACATTACATGTTTTAATTAAAGAAAATTCTTATTTTGGTTTATAATTGGAAAAGCATTCTGTAATACTTACAATGGCAAGTTTTGCAAACTATGTCACTTTCCATCCTATTGACCCTGTGAACTTTAGATCTTATTATCTCTGCTTTCTAAAAGCCCCAGCCTATCTTTTTTTTTTTACATTTATACTTTAATTTGATTTGAAGACCATTGAGAAACAGTTTACCGATGGATGCTGAAATCCGAAGCAGCTGATGGATTAAAAAAAAAGCAGAAGCCAGAAATATGATATAGTTACAGTAAATTATGTAAAAACATTAATCCAAAATTCCATGACAACATTATTTTAAGCATCTGAGACAAATATACAAAAGCAAGAAAATTCAGAGTCAAGGATTAAACCTGTAATAGTTGAGAACTACAGGGTGCCCTATTATGTTATCCTGCTATGACCTGTTGTGCCTATCTTTTGGATTTTTAATTCTTAACTGGAATTCAGAGCTTTTCCTAGGTTTATTTCAGATGCTTCACTTAATTTTAAGGTGATTTTTATTATCTGGGAATACATGTGGTTAGAAAATATAAATATAGTTCATATCTGTATACAATACGTTCATTCAAATTTTGTTCTGTGCTACAGATTACTATTTCATTTAAAAATTTTCTGTCTGTGAATGCTACAAAGTTGCAAAACGTATTTCATTATAAGCCCATTTCAGTTGTTCATAGTATTCTGAATAAAATTGATACCACATTCACTGGCGATGGGATAAGAGACTTCTGCAGCACTTGATTGCCACCCTGTGGACCACTCCCTTTCCCCTCCAGAAGTTCAAGATGATGTGTTTTGAGCAGATCCATTCCCCTCCAGTGGACAGACACTGGGGTCTGGGTCATGCAGGGGAAGGAAAGAGGAGGGACAGGGTGAAATCTTGTCCCCACTGAAGTCAATGGGAGTTTTGGCATTGACTTTAGTGTGGCCAGAATTCCACTCAGGACACATTTAGGCTGGAAACAGGCTCAAGGGTCATCATTTTGGCCATCACTATTTCCCAGCTCTCTTCCTAATGTATGTCATTGGGGATCACCTGCTACATGACTCATTGCTCATTGGTGGTTTGGGAAAAAACTGGCCAGGTTTTCAGATCCACTTAGTGGATTGCCTATTGGGGTTGGGAATGGATTTTTCCCTACTGCAAGTTTCCAGTGCCCACTGGGATTTATTGCTTTCCCAAAGCAGTCTAGACAAGGGGTTTTGGATTAAGTTTGGATGATTATAGGGATACCTGGCAGCAACCACTATATTTCCATTTTAAAGGATTACTGAGACCTTTTCATTTGAGAAATGTTAGCAACTCCATTGCTTGCAGAAGGTCGTTGATATTCAGTTGCGAGAAACCCCTAAGGTTATTGCAGTGCCTTTTCTTTGTCCCATTACATTTCAATCAGATTTAGATGTGTTGTGAAGTGTTACAAATCACCATTTCCTTTTCCTCTCTTGTGTTCCTCAGAACAATTCTGGCAGCCTGACAAAATCACTGAACATTGTAATAGACTGGATCCTACCATTGCCATGCTGCACTGTGAATGCCTGAGAGCTGCCAGAGCAGCTGTGGTGTGGGGGTAGGAAGAAAAGAGTCAGGGTGGGCTTCCTTCAATGACATCCCCACTTCCCTGGACCCAGCATCCCATCTCATGTGGCATGCACTTTCACAATTCCCGGGGATGAGGAGACGACAGAGCGAGCGAGCTGAGGCAGGCTCCCTCATCATCCCCCAGATCCAGCCATTGCCCCAGTGTCCTATCTCCCACACAGGGACTTGATTTGGGACAGGTGCTCCCCCACTCCTGGTTGGAAGGAGGTAAGAAAGCGACACCAAGATCCCCCATAATCTCTCAGACCCAGTACATGGTCCCAGTAACTCATACCCACCTCTGAGGGCACCACAAGGACTAGAGCTCCCACATCTGGGAGTGGGAAAAAAAGAGGCAGGCCAAGCTCCTCTTGTCCACCCTCTGAACCAAGCATATGACACAAGTGTTCCATCCCCCTATGACAGGATAACAGCTTTTTTATGCTGCCAGCTAATGTAGTTAGTCCTGAAGCTCAAGTAGTAGACATCTGCCACAGTGCTGAAGGCTCAAGATTCAAACCACACTGATGATAAAAGGGGCTGGGGGACTGTTACAGTCATACATAATAGAAATTATTTTTACCTAGGAAATTACATGTAAAAAACTATGTTAAAAGAATATTATTTAGGCTGCAACATAAAATACTCAAAAGTTAGGGAATCTCAGGTTCGTGGTGACCCCACAACCTAAGTTCAGCTCACGCTTTAAGTATATGATCATAGACTATTTTTTCCATAGGTTTCCTGCCTCATTCAGTTCACAGATTGGACACACAAAAGGGCCAAATTAAGGTTGCATCAGCAACCATTAATCTGGCATTTCCTAATTTTTTAGTGCTTGACTCTGCAACCTCAATAACACTCCTTTAACGCAGTTCCTCACAGCATCATGGAGGCACAGTTGGGGCAAAGAAGAGTAGGATTTATAGTATTGGTTGTATGGTGGGAGTCCCAAAAGCCTCCATTGGACACAGTTACTTGTCTAGTGTGAGAGTTGGGTGGCTGTATATCACCTGTATCTTGTGTTAAGGTAATAAAGTTGTGGCCCGCCATTTAAAATCCATTCTAATGTCTGCCTTTCAGTTACCTGCATATCCTGAGCAATTCTGTGGAGCTCAACAACATTTACTTGCAAAATCCTACATCTCCCTGTCTAACACAGTGCAAGCCATTTTAATGTAGTGCTTAGGTTGCAAATCTACACACACAAACATCAGGACATTAAAAAGTTAAGATATATTGTCCATTTCACACATATGCACTCTTTTTGATTATTGAATAGGCTATTGTTGTACACTTTCTACTGTGAGTACAATATGAGGAATTTAAAGATGCTCTTACTGACTTAGGGCCTGATCCAATACCCACTGAATTTAACTGAAAGCCTTTTATTAGCTTCAATTGTATCAGGTCCTTAACTTTTTCAAATACCCTGTCTTATTTGTTTACTGATAAGAATCAACTATTAT